TAATCGTAATAGACTTGGATGTAGCTTGTATTTCTCCTTTGGTCTAGGCCTAATAACCAAGGTGTCGGCTTGACAGCTGCCGTTTAACCAAGGCTGGTAAGTAGTAACTGCTGGATTTGGATTTGGCGGGAATGTCTGGAGGTTCAACCAACAAGGGGGATGAAGATGGAAGGAAGTGTTTGTGCGTTGAGGGGATGCGACGGGATGGATTTCCCCGTCAGCACAAAAGCATGTCCGATATCACGATCTGACTAACAAGGTACGGAGTTGAATAAACCCGCGACAGCCAGGCTTTTGAAGAGCAGTCAGTCATTCTCCGGACACGCCTCAGCTTCCAAGTGTCAACAATGGACGTTCCGGATCACGAATCGCGCCTTTGGGTGTATGTAATGGAGATTGCCGTGTCTGACAAGACTCATGTGCACACATTGCGCCTTGTCCCCGGTCCCTAGCCACGAGCCTGATCCGCAATCAGAATTTTCTCATTGGGCACCGAACCCAGACTTCTGCCTCTGAAGTGGGAAATTTCTTTAAAATTTCGGAGATGGATACTAGAGGTGAAGCAGAGGAGGGTCCGGCGATCAGCGAGCACGGCATGGGACTCCATCGTGAAAGTGGACTTCTTTTGTCTTTGCTGTCTTGCTTCTGCTTCGCCTTGGCAGTGGGTTTAGACGCCGCGAGATCCACGCGTGGATGTGGATTAGTTCAAACGGATGACATCCCGGCACGCCGAAGGTTATGATTCCAGTAGGTAGGTATTGCAAAGGATGGATGGGGAGGCTTCCTCCGATGAAGCAGCTTACCTTGATACCTGACATGCAACCTGTCGCTGCTGCCGTGCCATGAGTCGTAGCATGAACAATGCTCGGACAAGTCCTACAGTAAGACGGCCAACAAGAAACGCACTACGGTCCGTTTGCTGTCCCTGACCGGGCCGGCCTCCACCGCCAGCGAGGCCATCGCCAGCTGTCAAGCCACAAAGAAGCATGCGGACGGTAATACGCATCCATGCCTGCAGGCAGGCAGGCAGGCAGGCAGGCAACAGGCAGCGAAAGCCGGGAGACCCCCCCGTCCGATGGAAACATTCTGCAGAATTTCGAAGCTTCCAAAGGGTGGGGCGCTGCAATTTCCCGCTGTAACGTCGGCATCGTGGCTCGGCTCTGGATGAAGCTAGATACTGTCCGTCCGTATGTAACTCTCTCGCCACGGCTAAATGGCACACTGCTCTGTTTCCCTCTCTTCTCTCTCTGCCGCGTGGGTAAAGGCCGGGAGAAGTAGAGGTGAGCGTAATAGGAAACATGGGCGCCAGCTTTGACCCGTTGTGCCGAAACGTCCGTCGAGTAAGAAGGAGCCGAAGGAGACGCCGTTTGGGCTTTTGTTCCTCGGTCAAGTAGCGTGAGAGGGAGTCAGTGCTCGGTGTTCGCCGCGGTCATGACTGATGGCTCGAGTCAGCATTCTCTTCGGAGTATTATTGCTGCTGATGGTGCTGTAGAGTTTTGTCGTCGCCGAATGTTGCGGCTCTGGTTCTGTGGGATACAAGACGTCCCTGAGAGAGGCCTCTTTTCTGCGACAACCGACGCGACTCCCGCTGCCGCTCTGAAGGAAGCATCAAGTAAAATGCGACGCTGAATCTTGAAAGGCTAAAAGGCGACCGCGCGACGAAGTGAAAGGAAACGCTTGGTTGGCGATGGCAGCTCCCAACAGCGACACCGAGGTCTCGGTGTTCTCAAGGGGCAAAGGGCAGCCAAAGGGCCATTCAGCCGGCCGACGGCTAGGCACCGGCAATCCTCCCTGGACATCCGCTCGCCCTAGCAATCTAGCCCTGAAGCCCCCGTGTCCGTGTCAAACGCTTCTACGACTCGTAATGACGGCCAGCTTGAATCGTGGGCAAGCGGCCAATTTGATCGTGGCGGACCGAGACCTTGGATCCCACAGCCCCTCTGATCCCCGTGCCCTGGTAAATGAGCTTGTTTCTCTTCCGGCATCTTGGGAATTGGGCCGCCTTGCTGGGGGAGGGGGGTAGACTTTCAGCAGACGGTTCGGATTTCGCTCGGGAGGACTAAGATTAGACAGTCACGATGGCGTCAAAAGAATGAAGGGGGGAGAAGACAAGATGGCAGAAGGAGAATGACAGGCCAAGGGGGGGGGAGGGGGTGCGATTGAGGGCCAGCCCAACGGCTATCGCATGAAATTGCCGAGTAATCAACGCTGTCCTTGACCTTGACCTTGTTGCTTTTTCCTCTGCCTCTGTCTGCAAAACGGCTACCAGTAGTAGTAGGAGGAGGAGACAGCTGCCACGCCCCTAGCTTCCTCAGCCTGGCGCTACCCCGGACTTTGACGAGAGAAGAGAAAAGACGTTCAGCCGCAAGCCACAGAGGACGCTGAAACAATGAAGCGATGAAAACCCCACGCCGAAGCGACAGGTGTGGCTTGTCGTCTCTCCAGCTCATGACCGGCTAGAATATGGTTGGATGGCGATGCTGAGTCATCATCGTCCTCATCCTAGTGGCCACGTGCGTGGCGCAGGCCCGCCGCGCCTCCATTCGCCGGATCGCTTCCCCGGCCCGCTTCGTCCGCATGGCAAGCACCCCCATTCAATTAAATGAGTAGGCGAACCCCTGGGCTGCGGTTCCTTGCAAAAGAGACAACTACCCCCGTCCCGGACATGGATCGTGGGTTTTTCCATTTTGGGCATACGGCCACAGAGAATAGACGAGACGAACGCTTGGGGGCACGCTCCCTCTTGATTTCCTTTCTTTTTCTTGGGCTTCCAAGGGCCACCGGTGGCAGGGGAAGGGGATGAACGGCGTTTACCAGCTCCATGGAACGTCGCGTGAGTCGTTTCCCTTGTCTCCATCATCAACCTGACAAGCTCCAAGGCCCAGCTTCTCTCCAACCCTAGTCACCGGACAGCTTCCGGGTGGACAGGAGCTCGAGCTGGAGCTATATCCATGTCGTTTCTGCCTCGTCTCTCTGGTGCTCGTTTCTTTTTTTTCCCTTACCCGTTTTACAGCTCCAATTCCCTGGAGTCTGGTTTCTGGGTCCTTGGTATCGCCGACGGACCGCTGCCGGGTTCTCTCCATCATCATAATTCAGAATTTTCTTGTTGTTTTCTCGCTACCCCCCCTCATTCATATGTTGACTCTTCTCTCTTTTAGTCTCCGAGGTGACATGTCATGCAGGAACCATTTCCCAGCTGGTTGGGTTTTGCTTTTGCTCGTATCTTCGCCGAAGCAACGGCGTCGTTAGGGTTCGCAACCGCGTTTCTGGAATTGCACGAGGGAGGCCAAGAAGAAGGAAGTCAAGAAGTCGCCTATCCGACCCGTCGGGACGGGAAATGAGATTGAAGCTCGCGGACCTGTAGAGCTTTGCCTTCAGCACCAGCAGAGGGGTGGGCAAACAAGGTCAAACTGTCAACATGGTACAGAGACGTAGCAGCGGCAGCTAGAGGCTCCCCAAGTTCGGTCCGCAGGTAGTAGCATCGCAGGGGTTTGTCCGACGCTTCTCCCGTTGTCCCCTGGCTCCTCCGTTGCTTGCCCAGCCAAATTTCTCACACGCCCTGCCCTTTCTCTCTCTCTCCGTGTCCCGTGTTGTCGGGTCCGCAATGTGCGATCCGCCCTCCTTACCCATCCTCTAGGCGCTCTCTCTAGTAGTAGTATCGGCCGAACCAGTAAAAGTGCCCTGGTCAACTCCCTGGCTCAACTCATTCCAAGCGTCCACGCTTGTCGAAATAAGGCCCCGCGGATCCTGAGCCGGTTGCGCTATGTTGAAGAGGTTGGTGATGAAGGAGGAAAGGAGCGTGCATCTCCACAGATGGCCCGAGAACTTGGTTCCTGCAGCCTGGAACCTATTTTCTTTGCCTCTTTCGCGCCGCGGCGCGGATGCAGGGCCGGGGAGCGACGGATCTCATGCAGATGCCCAAGGCAAAGGACAAGGAAAGGTGCCCAACCCAATTTGTTGGACAAGGGAAGGATTGTACAAGTAAGCAGAGAAGAGGACAGCAATTGGTGTAGAAGGATATGCGGGGAGCAGGATAATGGGCTAGGCTTCTTAGTCATTATTTGAAAGTGAAATTTACAAGTCACTAGTACAGCGCGTCATTGGTCTAGGGGTTAGGATTCAACTCTTCCATCTCACCGGTGAAAAGTTGAGGCCCGGATTCGAGTTCCGGATGACGCATTTTTTTGCTTTTTACAGCAACACCTTGTATACTTCATTTCCAGAATTTTTATGATTGAGAAGCAGATGAAATTGCTCAGCTGTTCTTTTTTTCCTCTTCTTTTCAAAGAGAATCGGGTGAAATCTCCAAAACGAGGTCAGGTTGACGCTTCCACGTCTACACAGGCACAGTATGACCCAGCTACCCGGGAGGGAAAATATGGATATGGAGGAGACAACGCTCCTCTTCTCTGGCCTGCATACGATGATGAGCAAGATGAGGCAACTAGATAGTGGACCGAGATCTTCCATCCCACCTGCGGATCATCTCTTTCGTATGGAGCAACATTCCGTGCTCCCTCGCTCGCCTGAGTCCACAATCCACTTCCCCATACGAGCCCAAACTCCATCACCGCTTCTTGGGTCACTCGACCAAAAACTCCACCGTCCATGCTCCAGATGCCAAGTCAGTACCGAGATCCAATGCCGGTATCCCTATGGGGAGGCAAGTCACCCGTCAGCCCACCAAGGGGCATGGCTCTCCCGTACTGGATGGCGTCAGGCACAAGGGGGGCAGTATATCGGTATCCAGGGTCACCGCTCTATATATATCATGCAGCACGAACAAGTCACATGAATCTCCATCCCTAGTCGACAGACTTCGCTGCCGTGCCGGTCGAAAGATATGAGAGATTGGGATAAGGTTCCCCGAGGAGGTAGTATTATGCATGTATAAAGTGTATATCTGAAGGCCCCCCAAGCATCCAAACGCCGAAACACCGCTGCCTATGATCCAAGTCACGGAACATACAAAGCCCCCCCTCCCCGCAACCGCACCCGCTCTAGCTGCGCAAAGCATCTAATCGGTTCCTCATCTGATCCATCATTGCCTCTGCGTCTTCCTCGTCCTCCTCTTCCTCCGCCACCGGCTTCTGCGGCTCCGGCACCGGGGCAGCGGGCATAGATGGCTCCTTCCGACTGAGGACTTCGCCCAGGATCTTTTCAATCTCGCCCTCGGCCTCTTCGTCCTCACCCAGCAGGTCAACGTCCTCGGGCAGCGTCTCGTCAACCATCTCCTCGATGATGCCCGCCTTCATCAGCTCGACGCTGAGCTCCCGCATCGTGCCGGACAACTCGGGCAGCCGGATGAGGTGGTTGACGTCCTTCATGATGCCGACGCTGGCCCGGATCGAGCCCTCAATCTTGCGCACGGCAAAGGCCTCGTTGACCTGCATCTGCACCGAGTTGAGCTGCGCCTTGGACGTGATGAGCCGCGCCGACGTCTTGCGCGCGCGGACCAGCTCGCGCGCAAAGTCCCGGACCTCCTTCTGCGCCTGCTTGGCTCTCGTGGGGTCTCGCTGGGCGCGCTTGTCGGCCGCTAGGATGAGGTTCTTGGTCTTGATCTCAACCTGCTTAACCTGAGCAATGTCGCGATCGAGTTTCCGGATGTTGGACCGGATCATGGCGTTGCATTTTCGGGCCTGTTGGAGGTGAAGGACTGGTCAATGGCAAGGTTCTAGAGAAGAGGCTGGGTGGAGCGCCGTACCTGTGCCTGGGGGTCCGGCTTTGCGAAGAGGGACTTGAACGCCTCCATGGCTGGCGCCAAGTGCTGTGCGAGTTCAAGGAGGGGAGGGAGTAGAGAGGGCGACTGGCGGGAAGGATGATGTTGTGCGCGGGCTCGGCGCCCAATGCTGATCAAGACTTGAGGCTGGCCGTCTGTCTCATCCGTAAATGTGCGCTGAGGTAAGGAGGCCAAAAGCACAAGGACGGCGCTGGTGGAGCCCGAGGCTGTGGCCGCAAAGGTGCGTGGTGACGAGGATCGTGGTTTCGCTCGGTGAAGACGCAAGGCGGAAAGAATACTGTAGAAGCCGTCCTGGCTGGGAAGACGCAACTCGTCACCGTGCTGTGGTGAGGCTGGGGGGAGGATGCGTCAGCCACAGCGTGGCTTGAACCGACCACTTGCAGCCGCTTTACTGCGTATGTATTACCCCGCTGCGACCTTTGGGAGGCTGGTGCAGTTGCCGAGAATGGAAGGCCTCTGTTGGGCAAATACTTTAAAGTTGTGACGGTGATGTTTCGAAGAAATGCATGCTGATGCTCATGTAAACCATTGTTGAAGTAATCTTGCAGGCCTTACCTAGTACTTGATATCAAAATACCTGCTCAGCCCTCAGACTATGCCATGCTTATTATGTTCTGTTGCTTATCATACCAAGAGCTGAGCTTCAACCCCGCAGCAGGTACATGTTGGCTGCAATCGTTGGAAAAGGTAATTGCACTTGCTACCTACTTACCTAGTCATACCGGGAAATGGCTACCTTTTCTTGCAGAACATCGACATCGATAACTACCTACTATCCTAATAAGAAGTACCATCTACCGTACCTAGCACCTGTATCTGATGAAGAATGCCAATCATTACAGCTGGCGTGGCGCGCCCCAGCCATCCAGCCTCTCTGGCAGCGCCGTCCGTTAGCGGGGTACCTGCTTGTCGCATCAGCCGCCGCACTCGCGAGGGGTACCGCCGCATCGTGCCCCTCATCAGCCCTGCCGCCAGATCTTTTGCCTTCTGACGCTTTCCATAACTGCCTTGGAGGGTTTCACTCCAAGCTGCTGTGCCTCTTTGATCCTTGACCACAGCCTGATTCACCCAAACCTCAATTTTTCCTCTCTATACACACACACACACTAAACACACATACATCTATCTGCCTGCGCGCAACGCTCGCGAGTTTTTGCCAATATCCTTCAACCAGCTCTTGCTTTCCACTCTCACAACAAAGCTCACCCCCGCACACACCATGGCTGAGACGTTGACTCCCGAAGGTGGGTTCTGGCCTGTTTTGAGTTGAGCCGCGTCGTTGGTGGTTTGAAAGCTGGCGATCGAGACACACGATGCCGTATCGAGGCGGACTTGTGCTTGCAAGCTGCACTCCCCCCACGTCACGCTGCTCTGCTTGCTCGGAATTGCCATCGCGGCGCTCCCCCTCGAGCTTCGAAGCTGACGCTGTCGCCTTTCTTCTAGTTCTCTGGGCCCAGCGCTCCTCTGCGGCCGATGCCGCCAAGAACTTCATCTACCTGACCATCTCCGTCCCCGACGTTTCCAAAGAAGACCTGAAGCTCGACCTGAAGCCCACCAGCGTCACCTTCACCGGCACCTCCGCCACCCTTAAGAAGACGTACCATGTCGAGCTTGAGCTGTACGCCGAGATCGACCCCGCCGAGAGCCGCGTCAACCACACGGCCAAGAACATTGAGATGAAGCTGCAGAAGAAGGAGCTCAAGGAGGAGTACTGGCCGCGGCTGCTCAAGTCCTCTCAGAAGCTGCACTTCCTCAAGACCGACTTTGACAAGTGGGTTGATGAGGACGAGCAGAACGAGGCTGCTGATGACGATCTGTCCAAGTTTGGCGACATGGGTGAGTGAATTGTCCTTTTCCCTTGGCATGCGCCGAGGTGCTCTAGCTTATTATGTGTAAATTGGCCGTCTTATGCTAACTTGATGAACTAGGCGGCATGCCCGGAATGGGTACGTGACTCTTGCGATCCCCAGCCACAGCATTGACCGATACCCTTCGTTCTCGCCCTTTCTCGGCCTTACCAAGCTAACGACTTCTTTCTAGGAGGTGACTTTGGCGGCATCGACTTCTCCAAGCTGGGAGGCGGCGCCGGTGGCATGCCCGACATGAGCGGCATGGGCCTGGAGGGCATGCCCGAGTACAGCAGCTCCGGAAACCCCGACTCCGACTCTGACGATGACGACGACGAGATGCCCGCGCTCGAGGGCGAGGAGGAGAAGAAGGGTGAGGAGGAGAAGAAGGACGAGGGCGAGGCCGCCCCCAAGGCGTAGAAAAAAAAAAAGCAAAATCTTGGGCGGAGGCGCCATCCATTTTTATAATGAGATACACCTGGAAACGGAATCCTTGGCGAGTGCCTCGTTTGTTGTTTTTTTCCCCCGAGGCGCTGACGGCGAGTTTTTGGGAGTACGGGTTTTCTTAATTCATGTACGAAAGTAACAAATTCAACAAAATGCCGGTCAAGTTGACTTTGATTTGCCTCCCATGTGCTATGCTGTAGAGTCGATGCTGCTTCGGAGTTTGTGAGGCGGGTTACGGGTGTACTTGGATGTGTCAAGGCAGCAGTATGATTCCATCTTGATTTGTCCGCAAATATGTGATATTGACAACTTGAGGATTATCCAAGGCATCAAGGAGAACTTTATCTGCATATTACCTACTACATACATGTATACAAAGCCCTGCATGCCTCCTGGTCTTTCTCGATGTTCTTGCCCCAGAAGGACGTGCGTGGCTTGAGGTAGCTAGATGAATAAAGGGAAATATCAAACATCTAAGGCAAGTGACCAACAAATAAAAGCGACAACTGGCGCTTTGACTCATGGATCGTTGACAATGAGAGACACATCGCTTTAGGTACGATAATAGACCATACTCACACTTTCCTTGGCGCAGAGATAATTCCGACGGCCGAGTGTTTCGCTTATTATTACTACTGAATACACTTGACGACATCCCATCGCCTAACCTCAACCTCAGTCCAAGATGATGAGACAAAGCTGGTGGAAATAGAAAAAAAAAAGAAAAAAAGAGCAAACGTAAGTGTCTCAAGGAATTCCTCTTCCAAAGCCTCCCAAGCACCCTTCACGTAAACGTTCTGTCACAGAGGCAGCACGTCTGTAAGCGGCCCCCAATGGCGCGTGATACCCCAAGCGCGTGCTGAGCCACCTTCATTCTTTTTTTGTTTTCTCTCTTTTGACGCATTGATATCTAAACCACAAGTTCCATGCAACGCCGTCACACCGAATAGGAAATCAGCCAAGCATATTTACTACTGCGCATGTTAGCCTAGTCCGGATCAACGGTGAATCAGTGCAAGCATACCATAATCTCGTCTTCCATAGCGGCGTCTCCGTTGGTAGGAGCAGGAGCGGCAGCAACCGGAGCGGCTCCAGCGGCCTCGTTGTTATTGGCGCCGACAAAGTAATCCGCCATCTCGGAGTCGAGCTCTTCAGCAGTCTTCTTGGCAGGGCGGGCGTTGCGGCCGCGACGCTTCTTGTTAGCGTTCGCAGCGGCTCCCTTGGCACCGCCGGCCTTGGTGGCAGCCGTGTTCTGCTTCTTGCCAGCGGCAGACTTGGGCTGGGCCTTGGGTTGACTGCTGAGAGTCAGCTGATGTCCAATACGCTGAAAAAAGAAGAGAAGAGGGGGGGGGGGACAAACGTTGTGCGCTCAGCCAGAGACTTGATCGGGGGGATGACCTTGTCAGCCTGAGCAGCTCCGACGATGATCTCAATCTGTCATTTCAATGGTAAGCCGAGGTCTTCCTGCCTATCGCCGGCCCGAAGCAACCTACCTTGATGGGACGGCCATCGACCAACAGTCCGTTCAGTGTCTGCAGTGCCCTGGAAGCACCATCAGGCTTGCTGAAGGTGACGTTGGCGATGCCTCGGCTCTGGGAGTTGGGGCCATAGGAAAGTTCAACCTTCTTGATGGGACCAACAGATTGAACAAAGTATTCCTAGGAAGTAAATCGTGTCAGTTAGGCGGAAGCGATGGGGTTGTACGAGCATGCCAGTCTCCGACTTCGAGGTTTCGCCGATCCAGTCCCCAGAACATCGCATTACTCCGACGGAAGAAAACGTAGTTAAACGACCAGCGAGCATAGCAGTGAGCAGCAACCCAGAGCGCAGCGTGAATCATTGTCGAGCAGTGACCCCCCCGGAGGCACGCAGTAAACAGGAAAAAGCCCAAAGTGCCAGAGGAAATGCCGCGCGAAAAGCCCATGGATGAGCTGATTTGCTGGGTTCGCCAGTGCCAACACAGAGAACATCATAATGCCGAGCCGCCGACGATTGCCTCAGAAGTAGCCCCCGAGAAGGAATGCACTCGAAAAGAACGGGCTCTGACAGTTGAAAACCGGGTTTCCTGGATGTACGTGCCCACTGCTTTGCTCGCTGACCGACCGACCGACTGATGCCAGGATTTTTTTTGTATTTGCTCAAAGACGATTGCTTGTCTCCAAAACGCTTCAGCGTTTGATCGGAGAAGAATGCCACAGTCCTCATAATGTTATCGCATGCTTCGATAATGCTGACCAGGCATTCTGAAGGCATATTGTGCGTAACGAGGACGGTCTCGACTTGCCAGTGGCGCGCATAGCGTTGGGAAACGAGCGCCGCCAAAGGAAGGAAACTTGAACAGTACAAGGGCTTGAGCCACAAGGGCCGTACAAAGCCTCTGAAAGGGATGGCCGTCTCAAAGGATCGAGAACGACGAGGAAGAAAACGTCGAACAAAGTCCGGAGACGAAAGAGTCTCAACGGAAACATACCTTGATCTGCTTCTCCGTCACGTCCTTGGGCTGGGCAGCGTTAGCGCAAGTCATTTGCTTATTGAGCGAGGAGGGGGGACGGCATACCAAGTTGCTGACGATGACTTTGCTCTCGCCGCTAGGAGCAGCGGCCTTGAGGGGGGTGGCCTTTGCGGCAGCGCCGCGAGAGGGCTTAGCAGCCGTCTTCTGAACACCACCGGCAGGGGCGGTAGCAGCAGGGCGGCCAGTGGTTGAGCGTCGCAGGGAGCGACGGCGCACCGAGTTGCGGCGCTGAGCGGTGACGATCTCGTCAAGAGGCTTGTCGAGCTTGGTAGACATGGTGATTGATTTGAGAGTCGAGGTAGACGGGAGAGAAAGTGTGGCGTAGCAGAAAAACCTGTCGAGTAGTCGGGATGTCGACAGCGGTTGGTCAGGATTGACAGACGTAAAGCAGTCAATCACAGAGAGGTGATCAAGGTCGAAGAGTCGCGAGAAGCGATTCTAGTAGGCTTAATCGAAGAGATGCGCGAGCTGGCGATTCGCGAACGATGACTCAAGATCACGAGTGCGATGCAAGGAAGCTTCGGCAGCGGCGCGTTGTTTCGAGTCGTCAAAAGTGTCCGAAAGAGTTTGACGAGAAAAAAAGAACGAAGGAGGCAGTGGAAGTGCAGCAGAGAGTCTGTCGGAGTGGAGGAGAGTCGGGTGTCGTTGGCGGCTGTGCGGAAGACACTGACTGGGCTTGGAATGAAGGAGATGGAGATGGAGAGGAAAAGGCGAGGTTGAAGGAGAGGGGAGTGCGAGTGGAAGATAAATGCCACCAGACGGGCAACGCGGGCGCAGGAACGCGTGCCTGCTGGAGGCTCAGCGCTGCCTCAACTGTCTCAAGCCTCTAGTGCCCTGAAAAACAGGGGGGAGGTCGCCCTTCACTACAGGCGCTAAGGCGCTAACAGTAATATTGACAGCCTTGGAGGCGGCATGCGGGAGTTACTTGCGCCACCGCCGGCCCCGCCGCCAGAGCGCTTGTACCTTTGCCGCTGGCCTCAGCTCAGTTTCCGCGATCCAACGGCAGACAGACGGTCGCATCAGTCAGCCAGCCCGACTTCTGGTAAGAACACGCAGTCGGAAAATGGTGAGACAGAGTCAGCCCGGACCACTAATGCAATAAGAAATCCCAGGCCTGGCATAAGCGCCATGATGGCCCTGTGAGCAGGCTCCAGGCTGGGGGCAACTGCTGACAGCGTTACAAGCACGTAGCCCGATAGTAGCATGTTTTTGCCACAAAATCATCGGCAATTATGACAGTAGCGAGGCGTACGTACAATCCGGATCTTACTAGATACTACCTACCTTAGGAGCATCTCTGGCTCCAGATGTGAGCGTGCGTGTTTACTTGCAACTCGTCTCACGATGCCAGCTCCAAGAGCAAGGCTGTGATGGCCGTAGTCACATTGGCCCCTGCGAGACAAGTTCTTTCCGGCTTGCCACCGAACTTGGGTCAGTATACGACGAAAGGTATCCAGCGATTGACTATGGGCGTGCTGGCAGGGTGACACGACCGGGAGGTGCTCTACATGTAGCATCTCTCCGCATCCATTATGCATCTTTGGCCGAAGTTGAGGTCAAGACGAAATAAAGACTGGCTCAAGAGAGGAAAGGGGGCAGACGTATTGCTACGCATGTTGACCCTTGGTGCCCGAATTCTCGAGGGGTCAGCTAGTCAGCCATTCAACCAGATGCGTAATCACCCGTCGGAGTCATGAAGGTCTTGCGGAGATCGATTCGTATGGTTTGATGTGGTCAATTCATGTCGAGCGTTTGTATGGCTCTCTTTGCTCTTGCTCTGCCCTTAGCCCCTTTGTCAATGGTATCAAAAGCTGGCAACGCTTTGCTCTCAACGCCCTGTCACGCCCGTCCCAAGAACTCTGCCTGGAGCTTGCTCTGGCGTCCCGCTAAGTATCGCTCCCCCAACATTTTTGAGTCTATCGTGAAATCCGCTGGTTCGACTTCGCATCGCATCATGGTTCGATGTGCGTGGTCGCGTCTTGCCCTGCCGTGCCCGCAAATCCTCTCGTGCCCATCATGATGCTTTCTTGCCTGCGGTCGCTGGCGTGGGTTCTGAGTTGACTTCCAGGAAGTGGTAGACCACAATAAGAATCATGGAGATTGAGCCGAGGAAGATGGCAAGCTTGTAGAGCTCGTCGTCGGAAATCATCGTGGAAGCGCTGGAGCTGGAGCTTTATCTAAGCTAATCCGAGTATCGCGATCAGAGGGCTGAAGAAACGGCAATTGGTCAGCGAGAAAAGCCATCAAAAGGTGCGCAACAGGAAAGCCAGCTAAGAAATCGCATCCTCACCTTTGGGCGCTGCGATAATCGTGATGACAGGCTCTGGGCGCAATCACATCGGGGTTCGACTGGTGGAAGGACACCTGTAAACGAGCAGCAGCTCTGGCTGACGACGTCGTTGCAGTGGCCAGTTGCTCGAGTCCAGATGCGGCTTAGCTCATCTGCCGAGGAAGATCAAAGTCCACCTGTCTCGATAGGTGGAAAAAAGCGGGCCCATCCACGTGATTGCGGTGACTTCATCCGCCCACTGGCGTTTCGACAAACCCACCAAAACCTGGACCCAACTAACTTTGTGTCCCGCGAAGAATCGCCGCCACCATTTTTTGAGGAGAAAAGTTGACCGTGCCATTTCCTGTCTTTTCTGGCGATCACTCAAAGAGATATTCTTGCGATACAGCATACAGCAGTGTCGGGAATCTCATTGCGGCACTCATTCTCGACATCGCCGGCGCATCTCATCTCCGGTTTCCATCGAATCCCAGCGTCAATTCCAACCCCACTAGAAGCGTCCCTCGATCATCACCCATCGACACATTGTCCATCGATTGCCCATCATGCCGCCGAAGAAGGAGAAGCCTGCCGCCGGCAAGAAGCCGTCTGCCGCCAAGCTGGTGGAGGACCGGACGTTTGGCATGAAGAACAAGAAAGGAGCGCAGGCGCAGAGACAGATTCAGCAAATGACGGCCAACTTGAAGGGCAGTGGCAGCGCCGAAGACAGACGGAAGGCGGCCGAAAAGGCACAGCGTGAGAAGGAGAAGAAGGCGGCAGAGGATGCCAGGAGAGAGACCGAGGCTCTCTTGAACAAGCCCGCCCAGATCCAAAAGGTGCCCTTCGGCGTGGACCCCAAGACGGTCGTCTGCATCTTCTACAAGAAGGGCGACTGCGAGAAGGGCAAGAAGTGCAAGTTTGCTCACGACTTGAGCATCGAGAGAAAGACGGAGAAGAAGAACTTATACACGGATGTCAGGCAGGAGGAGGAGGAGAAGAAGAAGCAGGAGACGTCTGCCGACTGGACAGAGGAGCAGCTGCTCAAGGTTGTGCTGTCAAAGAAGGGTAACCAGAAGACAACGACAGACAAAGTCTGCAAGTACTTCATCCAAGCCATCGAGGATGGAAAGTACGGTTGGTTCTGGATCTGTCCAAATGGTGGTGATAAGTGCATGTACAAGCATGCTCTTCCGCCCGGGTACGTCAATCTAACCTTGGTCTATACATGGTATTGATTACTGACGTCAACTATTACAGGTTCGTGCTCAAGACGAAAGAACAGAGAGCAGCGGAGAAGGCGCTGCTTGATAAGTCACCGCTCAAGACTCTGACTCTTGAGGATTTCCTGGAATCGGAACGCCACAAGCTCACAGGAAAACTGACGCCAGTCACTCCCGAGACGTTTGCCAAGTGGAAGAAGGAACGCTTGGATAAGAAGGCTGCTGAGGAACAGGCCCGCAAGGCCAAGGACAACACTGGCCGTGCTCTGTTCGAAAGCGGCAAGTGGAAGGACGTTGATTCCGAGGCAGAAAGTGAAGACGAAGAGGATGATACCTGGAACCTCGAGAAGCTTCGTCGCGAGACTGAAGCTCTCCGGCAGAAGAAGGAAGAAGAGCGACTGGCAACGCTGCACGGTGGACAGGTGCCCATCAGTACACCTGATACGCCGGAAGAAGCAGCTGGGAGCGATGAGGGCAACGGCGATGCTAGCGGGACTGCGGAAGAAGCATCAGTCGCACAGGCGAGCCAAGAAGTACCGGCCTCTTGAACGGCCGTGGGAGAATGCACAAAGCCAAGGCGACTTCAGGTCCCCTCCCATCTTGAGGAGTTGCTGCGAGAGGGAATTCCGAGCACCTGCTGGCACCACAGACGCCGATGGTTGCCAGGAGGGCCGCGGTGACTTGCTATTCGTCAAAGAAAGCTCGTCGCCTTGGATGTGTGGGCGGCTGCGGCGGCAGTCGTACACTGACCTCGTACTACTAGTCTACATGGCCCCGTATAGAATAGTACCGCATCAGTTTCGCATTGGAAATGACATTGATGAGGGGGGAGTTGGAGAGGAACACAAGAGAGGGAGACGGGGGGACATTGTGGCCAAGGCTTCCTATTCTTCCAAGGCCGTGAAGGCCCATTTCAGGAAGCAAGCCACAGATGCGGTTAGAAGATACAAGACATGTCATGAGTGTATGAAGCACTCCACAAGCTATTTGACGTTTCCAAACGGAGCATACCAGAACACGTGTGATGCATTGAACTCCTACTGTTCATCCCTTGACCTTTTGATTGGCGCAGGACGTCGTCCCGGGGCTCACAGGAGGACAGCCGAGACAATGCTTGTGATGTTGTCTCGGATGGCTGAAGCGCTGGCCGTACTCAAGACTGTCCACGTTGCCTTGCCTGCTTTGCATCCAGGCATCAAACCGCGTGTAACCGAACAAAAGGAAAGAAAAAAAAAAAAAACAAGCCGGTCTGGCAGACGTCCAAGAACAAGGTATGACGCAGTGTCGTTGCACCTCTGAGTTGCATATGGCAAAAAAAAGACATGGCTATTTCCTTTTCACCTGCAAGGTTTCACCCGCTCTCCCGCTTTTTTTTTCTCTCTTTGGAGGGCAAGGCATGGGGTGATAAGCTGCGCTTCTCCTCCTCTGCCCCCCCCGGCTGATGACGTCCTCAGGCAGCACGGTAAAGAAAACACATGGCAAGCCGTCCCACGGGTTGGTTGCAGGGATGATGGGGACCCTGGTTTTGGTTGTTTGACCTGGTTGGAGGCCAAATGGGGAGCGTGCGGAGGGGGGGGGGGGGGGGGGATTGAGATGCATGTCTGTTTATTCTTGTGTGATTTATCACCTGTAGTATTACATGTACTTGCTTGTGAATCATTCTGACTTTGAATGGTAAGACGATATACGCATACCCATCAATTATCTACAGTCAGAATTGAGGCATGTGACGACTCGTAGTAGTACTGTATTATAGGTACCAGGACCAGGTAGTTGAGCTGTTGGTCTTACTACCAAGAAAAGGACAGTAAGGCTTTGACGTGCTGTCACTGTATTTAACACCTCTGGCAGCGAGATACAGCGCCAGGTTAGTACCTTAGTTGAGCACGGTACATGTACTTGTAGCCGGCCAGGTCACCGGCGTGGTGCATCTGCGGGGGTCGGATGGCGGCCCAGCACCAGCACCAGCACCAGCGCAGTGACCTCATGCCCTACCCAGCACTAGTCCCGTAGCGGCCTGGAAGCTCTCAATACCTGCCTCTACAGTACATTTGCTGTACTTGGAGCATGTACTGTACCTACTGCTCGTCCCTCACCTCACCTTATCCACCCCCAATTGCTTCCCCACAGCCGGCTCGCACTCGGCATCTGATCAACTCCAAACAGAGGCCAAAGGACCTGGACTGAAAAAGCATGGGCTCGATCCGAGGGGCTGCCTTTGCCTTCAGCTTCTGCTGCTGCCCTTGTCTGCTGTAGCTTCCACAACGTCTTTTAGCACCCGGGAGGCAACCCCCTCACCAGCGTCGTCCGTCTGTCCGTCTGTCTGTGTCTCTCCATCTTCACCTTCATTCCTGGACGTTGTTGCGGCTGGGCGTCGAGCAGCTGAAGCTGAGCGTCTGTTTCGAGGTTGACGTGACATCGAATTGCTGCCATCATCAACTTGCCTCTTGGTGCCGGGCGGCGTGGCTGGAGCATCAGCATCAGCATCAGCATCAGCAGTTAGCAGCTGCAGCAGTACCGGCATCGGCAACGGCATCGCCTGAATCTGCATCTGCATCTGCATCTGCGTCTGCATCTGCGTCTGCACCGCCATTGGCATCGGCATTGACCTCTCTGCATTGGCGCAACCGCCAGGCGTTTCACGATCCCTCAACAGGGCAGGGCAGGGCAGGGCACAAAGCTTCACGACAAGCAGGCGGACTCGCGTCTTTGCATTCCGCATCACCTGTGCCAGAGTTCGGCGGCTGATTGACCCAATTCCACTCGACTGAAGCTCCTTCGAACCAGCTCTGCCAACCCCCCTCACTCTTCGCCTCTCTCTTTTTTTTTTTTCCAATCTCGGTTCAGCTCCAGCGCAGTCCGACCCAGCTCAACTTCGCCATTCCGTCGACTCCTGAAGAGCAATCTCCAATATCGGGTCGAACTCCATCGTCTTCACCAAGTTCCCACGACCTGTCATATCTCGAATTCTTCGCTCCTCGAAACTTGACACGCAAACCGACATACAAAGGCCATCCATCGTCCTCTGCCGACGACACAGACCCCGGACGGCTGCGTTCGAGGCTCTTGATGGACAAGAGGCTGCTGGCTGCTGGCCGTGCTGCGATCCGCGCCCCGGACTCTGGTCTCATACGGGGCCGCCGTCTGAACGCGCTGTGACCGGACGCCATTCGCCAGAAGCATGAGCGTGGAGGCCAAGCGTCCCTACCAAGATGTCACAGGCCGCTCCGCATCAGCCGTCATGCCTCACCCTGGGGGACGAGAGAGAGATCGGGAATGGCCCAACGCGCTCATGAAACGATACCGCATCGAGGTCGCTGCCAGCACATCCAGCGTCTTCTCCACACTCGCCGCTTTCCCGCTCGACAGCGTCAAGACGCGCATGCAGACGTACCAGTACCGGGGCTTCCTGGACTGCGTCAAGCACACCTACCGCACCGAGGCCTTGGCGGGCTTCTTTCGAGGTGAGTTGTCTCTTGCGTCTCGATACGATACGCCCTATTCCAGTTTCGAGACCATGGCCAAGCTGACCTGATTTTGTCTACTGTATCTAGGCGTCACCGCTCCCATGGCGAGCATTACCCTTGTCCGCACCGTCTCCTTCTCCATCTATCGAAGAGCAAAACACGTCTACTCTGGTTGGATCAAGCAAAAGTCTGGGTTCGACATCCACCGCCACGTCAGCACTCCCGGAACATACCCCAACCTCTACTCAGTCGCCTGCTTTGGCGCCGCTGGCGCAACCGCAGGCTCCGCAATCACCTTTCTGGCCTGTCCGTTCGAACTCACAAAGCTCAGCGCTCAGGTGTCAGTGCTGCTAGCAGAGCGCTCTGGGGACTGCCAGCGGAGTCGCGAAGTAGCAAAGAGCTACCAGAACAAGGGGACGTTGAAGACCATGGCCAACATCATCAAACATCGGGGAATCTTGGGGCTCTATACCGGCTTCCAGTTGCATCTTTGTAAGCAATATCTGAGGGGCATTGGCCCCTGTTTCAGGGCTGTTATTATTGTCTGTTGCATGTGTGTCTTTGGCTAACCCTTGCCGGCTGGATAGTGCGTGACACTTTGGGGACGGCCATCTACTTCATGGTATACGAGAGCGGGAAGCAGCTTGGAACGACGTTTGCTGGCGATAGCCCGAATAGCAACAAGCTGGCCGTTGTGGCTGCCGGTGGCCTTTGCGGGTTGGTATCATGGGCCATGATTTGTGCGTATTAACCCCCCATGAAACGTCACTACGTCTGTCGACCTCAGGCTTGTGAACCCGGAGCTAACTGTTGTCGCCCTCTACAGATCCAATTGACTCGGCAAAGAGCATTTACCAGAGAAACGCCCTTTTATACTCTCGAGGAGAGAAAGTCGAGCCGGCGCCCAAGATTGAGTTCTTCAAGCGACACATGTACCGCGGCCTGGGCGTCTCCATGATCCGGTCCTGCGCCGTCAACGCCATCTTCTTTTCGTCCTTTGAAATCATCAAGAAGCGAATCAAGAACATTGACGACGAGCGCAAGGTTTGAGGAGTGAGCTCTTGATCAAGAAGGGGGCCGCTGATGGAAAACACTAAGCGGGAACCTGTGGTAATTTTTCTCTCCAATTCGTTTTCTTCGTTCTCTTTCGGTGAACAAGCCAAAGAGAGAGAACAACAAAAAAATCCTTACAAAGGCGGTGTACGATATTCATGAGTAGCTCTCCATCCCCCTTCTCCCCCTTTCTTTCCTCTTATCTATCCATGTCATAGCCAAGGGGAAGGCTCATAGTTGCCTCTGGCGTTTGCGGACTTTTGGTTGCATTTCATGGTTGTCTCGTTGGACTCCATCTTATTCGGTGCTGTGCCCTTTGTCGGGGAAGAGCCCGAAAGTCCACACAAGTTCAGTTTCTTGTTTGAAGTATGTATTGATTATGGCCTTGAGGTTATATGAGCTCTTAGGCACTTTGACAGAGTCTGTTTAGTAACATTCTGTTGTTGCAGCACAAAGCGAGAAAGGAAGGGGCCATGAAAGGCAAGGGACATTGTTTCGGCACGAGGCCGTGACTTGTAAGGTACTCGTACTCGTGGTCGAGGTACGGAGGGGGAAAAGGAAAAGAAAACATTTAATACAAAATTATGCTATTCATCGTATATCTACCCTTTGGCTCGATGACATGTTTGCGCTGCGTTGAGAATTGTGCGATAACATAGAACATTTCTTCTAACCATGAGCTCGATACCCCGGGGCCCTTACTGGTTGAAAGGGCGTCGATATCTCATCGAACGGTGGATAGCGATGTTACTACAGTATGAATGATCTATCCATTCTGCTGCTGATCTATCTGTTATGCTACTGATCTGTCTTTCTTCTGCTGATGTGTCTATAATGCTACAAGTACAGCTACACAGAGCTGGCAGCTAGAAACAGAAAAATTAAAGGCCTGCATTCGGCTCTCATGATGATTCTATTCCCCATCCGTCTACGAGCATGCTTCAGTTGCTTTATCAATCGCCAGCAGCCACCACAGAAAACCCCTTAAGCTCATCTGCCTGCCATTTGATATCTTACTCAAAATGCATGTTCCACCTTGCCCATTTTTCTTCTTCTTTCGAACAAAATCATGTCCTCGCCTAGGTGATTGTAGCTTTTCCCCCCCTTTTCTTAATAACCGCCCTTTCCATCCCTCGATCAAGAAAGAGGTCCAATACAGACTCAAGACCAATAGATGCGTCCATGACATGGCAGGGTATATATCATAGCGATCCCTCGATCTCTTTGCGTCCAGCATACATGGTCTCTCCTTTGCTTTCAGGTGCCCATCAGCCAGCAAAGCACGGTCATGCGATGCCGCCGTGTCCTCTCCGGGCCCTGATGTACTCTCGAACTTTTTGCCAATCATTCTCCATCGGAGTCACCTTCTTCTCCCTCTTCTCGAGATCGGCAAATTCTGCAGCTAGCACCTTGTCCTCCACGCTGAAACCCTCTTCGCCCTGAAGCGCCCTGACTATCGTATCGGAGAACTTGGCCGGGTGAGCTGTCGAGAACGAAATGTGATGGATAACGCCGCGAGTGCGGTAGATTGACCGTACTGTCGCGGCAGCGCCGACGGCAGAATGAGGATCCAGTACGTATCCTGAATGTCGATAGAAAGCTCTGATAGTGTCGAGGGTTTGCTCATCTGTGATTCGTTCGCTCTCGAATTCCCGCCTCGCACACCTGATGACGTCGCGGTATACTGGGCCAAACGACCCCTTTTCGTCGAGTTCTCGGAACCACTTACATACTTCCTGGCTCGCTTGTCTCTGGTTCCAATAATGGTCCATGCCGGCGCTCGACGCAAACTCGCAGGCGAGGAACCACAGAAGACGCTCAAAGTTGTGGGATGTCAGGACATCCATCGCAGGACTGAGAGTCTTTCTGAGGCCGGATCCAAGCACGGCGCCAGAGGGCCCAACACGGCCGGGGCGCTGCTTCTCATACCGTCCCGTCCTCCAGAAGCGATCGAGGATGTCATTTTCGTTGGTGGCAATGACGAGCTTCTCGATTGGCAGGCCCATATGTAATGCGAAATATCCGGCGAGGATGCTACCGAATTTGCCAGTTGGAACCACAAATCGGATCTTGTCGCCGAGCTTGAAGGACGCAGACTGCTTGGTAAGGGCAAAATACGAGTAGAAGTAGAGCACTATCTGGGCCAGGATCTGAGCCCAGTTCCTCGAGCTGACAAGGTCAAAATCTTCGTTGGCTTGCCTATCGGCGCGTAGGCTGCGCAAGATATTCTAAAAGTCTCAAGCTTAGGAAAGAAAATCAAATCAAGAACGGCTCGAGTCATGGATCAGGCCGGTACGGGTACAGCATGGCAACATACCTGACAGTCCTCAAAGGTGCCATCGACGGCCAAACTAGAGATATTCTCGTCCGGCACTGTCGTGATCTGAGCTTCTTGAACAGGGGCAATCTGTCCTTCAGGGAACATGACAACGACGGAGATGTCTCTCTTGCCTCTCAGGCCGTACATGGCAGCGGAGCCGGCATCACCTCTGGTGGCACCAACAAAGGTGAGATGATGTCGATCTGCTAGGAAGAAAAAATTGGTAAAGGTATAAGCGAGTCCCCATTCGCATAGAAAGAGCCCCATGCCCGTGTTCGTCTCACCATGTAACATCACTGATGTATACATGGCCCTCTGTTGAGGTGACATCGACAGGGTGGCACGTGGACAAAATGTATGGCATACCTGCGGTGCTTGTTTTGCTCTCGTTCTTCCTGATGAGGAAATACTCGAGCAGGTTGCCCAAGAACTGCGAAGCAATGTCCTTGGAGGCAAATGTAGGGCCATGGAACAGCTCAAGGAGATGGTGCTTCTCTCTGAGACGGACTAAGGGCGTTATCTCTGGGGATCGAAACGTGGAATAGCTGCGCGCAATGATGTCTCTGAGGTCGGCGGGAGGGATTTCGGAAGGGGAAATGTAGAGTGACATGATCTCGAAGGCAAGCTCTGGGAACGTGAGGTTTCTCCACGATTCCCACGCAGTAGCACGTGGGATTTCTTCAGGGATGTATAGGCCACCATCAGGGGCGACGCTGTTTAGGACGACTTCCTCAAATGAGAACTGGAGAAGAGACGAAAGCGTTAGCTGCTGGGATGTATGAATGTGCCGGCATTCACAGCTCTCGCAGAGGGCCACGACATGTTGACGGTGGACGGCAGAGAGAGGCAAAGGAGAAAAAGAACATAAGCGGGAAGAAAAAAAAATTTGAGAGAGGGAGAGAAAAGAAGGAGGGGGAGAGAGAGAGGGAAAGAGAGAGACAGAGACTGGAGATCTTCTGTGCAAAAGAATAATGTGAGGAAGAAGAGACTTAGGAAAGTGTCCTCATACTCCAGTATCCTCTCCGCGAGTGCTCAGGTATCGATACGACGCATTTTCATCGGGCGTGCCATTTGGCTCCATAGCTACCTAAGCAGCTCCTGGAGGCACGATAATATAAAAGGCCAAGACGTAACAGGGAGAAAAGGAGGCGTAGCAGCGCGGTCGAGGGGAACGAAGGTCGAGCAGCGACACGGGCAGGGGGTACAGGCAAAATCAAAGGAAGAGAGGGAAAAAAAATCCACCAAGGCTCGAGAAGAGAAAAGAGGGTGCGGCTATCTGGAAGAAGCTGCTGAGGAGTAGAGGCAAAGAGGGCTGTAAGTCACTAACAGGCGTGCTAAGGTAGGTCGAGAGATATCGATCAACTTGGCGTATGACCGGGAGTATTCAGAACGGCGCCATGAGCCCCGGGACAAGTCGCGGCTACCTAGCAGGCACAAGGACACGGGAGAGGCAGACCAGGGGCTTTGTACCCAATACCCGGCTGGGGTCGTCGCCGGCCATCGTCAGAGGCGCCATTCCATCAGCTCCAAAGGTCCCAGTTACGCAGAGACGACCGTGGGGCAAAATCACTCTCGGCGCCATCTCTCTCCTCTGGCCAGTGGCAGCCCCTCCCGCGTCCCCTTTGTGCTTAGTGCGGGGTGGCCTCTCCTCGTTTCCCTTGTGTCGGTGACAGCCTGCGGCTGCATGTGCCTTGTGCCTCTACTCGCTCTGCCTCGTACTTGTACGTGGCGTGTGCTCGGCATCGCAGCAAGGAGACTGCTGGCATCGGCGTCTCGGCGGCTTCAGGAAGCCTAACGCGCTGCCCCCGTACATGATGCGAGTGAGCGTATATGCATATTGCGGATTCCTGCGGCGACGCGGTGCCAAAAGGGTTGCGCGCGCTTCCAACAAGCCCCTGGTCGACTCTTGCCTGTTCCATGGCAAGGTTGCCAACCCTAAAAAAGAACCCAATAGACAATATTTGTTGACGGTCACCACGCCGTTGTGCGGATCCTGGTCCGCGGTTCATCAATGCTCTCGAGATTTTTTTTTTCACTGCGACTGTCCGCGGCTGATGCTTGGACGGGAGACCTCGGCCCACGACTTGTTCAGGGACAGGCCAGCTGGGCGGCGCACTGTTTTGGGATATCTGCTGTTTCCGAATTTCCCAAAGGAGGGTAGCTGTTGGCCCAGAAAAGGAAGAAAAGGGGGGAGAAGAGGCTTGAGTACTTGCCGCACGACCTCCTCCAATGCATCTTCTCTCTTGTTCTACACCAGCAAGCCTGCTGCCGCACTCACACCGGTCTTACATGTCGCTGCTTTAGGCTGTTAGGCGATTGTGGCTCGGACGGTTCATACCATTGGCCATGCCGACAGAGCTTGTAGCAACTAGCCAAGGACCCGCAACAAGAGCCCAGGAAAACCCAAGAGCTCTCGAAGGAATGTCCACCTGTCTAGTGTGCCGGAACAGTCGATTCTTCTGCCGCTGAGGGCTTCCTGTCTGCAGCTCTTGAGATACCCGTCCAACATGGCCCGTGGTTCTCAGGGCGAATATTGGACAGTTTCGACTAGTGCTGCATTGTCATAGACTCTTCATGGGCCGGGGGCTGAAGCAAGCCTCCCCGGACCTCATCAACGTTTCATAAGTTGGGGCTTCAGCGAATGGTTCAACCGAGAGCACAGAGTGGTCGCGCGATGCTGGGCGGGGACTTCCATAAACATGTATCATTCGTTTTGCTGTGTGCCAGTGGAATGCGCGCCAGCGGTCCAACTTGATGAACTCTGCCGTATGCAACATGGGAGGCCGGCACTCTTTCCCGCGAGCGGAATATAGATGCTGTCATGTTCGTTGGTGTCCAGTCGCACTGATACATGATACTGCTCCCTTTCATCGTAGCAGATGAAATCCACTCGCTGTCACCAACAGCGACTCGCATTTTCGTATCGGCTTCGACGGGACCGCTCAGTTTGGACGTCGACCGGGCCATGTCCAAATTTTTCATCACCCTGAAACTTTTTTTTTTCTCTATGATCTCGCATTTGCGCGACCGTGGACGCGACCCATGTCCGAAAATGACGTGAAAAAGTGGTGCTTGCTCACCAGTCTGTTGTAGCCATGCAGGCGCTCTGCATATCCGAGATGGGCCTGGGTACCGAGTATGGAGTGGCCCTCTGCTTTCAGCGCCAGTGAGGCATGGTGACGTTGGCCATGCCCAAATACCTACTAGAAACCCAAGCCATCCAATAGAGGCCTATCCGCCTTGGCGGTCATTGGCTCGTGGACTGCCTCCCTGGGGTCACTTGCGAGAAGGGGTCACCTTCAGCCATCGTATGTACACCAAAGCCGCAACCTTGTTCGCCCGTGTGCGAGCATCTCGTCCCCATCTCTACCCAACGACGTGTGTACACACTCCATACATGGCGTGGGCATCTCGAAAACTCTTCATACTGGTAATGATTCGCCCGGCATAGTCTTGGCGGGTCGCACCAACCACCTCACTTTTGCTTTCTCCTGATGGGGGGAGGCAATAGAAGCCAGCCAAGCACTAGAGATGGCTTTTTGTTTCATGGGAATAGCCGCTGGGCTGTGACAGCTGTTGCGATTCGGTTCAGAAATGTGACACGGCCGAACGCCACATCTTCAGATACCCTCGTGCGATACTGCATTTTGTGCCTTTCTCGTCTGCTTTCTGTCACGGTTTGCGTACCGACTTCAGCAGCGGGGCAATCTTAAATCGCTTGCTCAGCCCAACCCTGTACAGGGGTTTGGACATCCCTTGTGCCGAAGATCCCTTTTTGTCGCACCCCGATTTCTGTTCTCTCGCTCGTGCAGCAGGCTGCCTTGGCTCCTTGGGTACGTCTTCCTCCTTGGGCTTGTCAGAACTGCTCTGGGAGGCTGAAACATCCTTTGTTTCCCCTCTGCTGCCTAGAGCTGCCTGATCTTGGCCGCATCCTGTGCTCTCTGCCGCGGACGAGGCTTCTTTGGCAGCCCCTTTCACGTTGGCAATCGGCGGCGAGCTTTGCGCAGTGGCAGCTTGGATGTCGTCTTCATGCATATCGTCTTCACCGTCTTCGTCAGCGGACGCTCGAGTCTTCTCCAGGACCATAGTGGCTGCCGTATCGCTGCCAGCAACAAGAGCAGAGACGGCAGTGGCGGCGGGAGAGGGAGCGCTGTCTACAGCTGCCTCGGCCGACTGTTTCTTGGGCCGCCCTCGCCTCTTCTTCTGCGTTGTTGCAGCTGGCGTTGTTCCCTCAGTCGCCGCCGATACAGGACCTGCAGCCGCTTTCATTGGCAGGGGCTCGTCAGTTTCTGGGGGCTTCCTCGGGCGACCCCTCTTCTTCTTGGGCTTGACCATTGGCGTGGGATGTGCCACGAATTCGGCCTCATTCTCCCCCGACTGCGACTCTCGTGGTGGGGGCTGATGAGCTGAAGAATCTCTTCCGTCACGATATTCCTGATCGGGCTTGGGCTTGGATATTAGATCAGGTGAAAGCTCTGGCTCATACTCCTGAGAGTGTGATTAGCCCGCGTCGTGTGATGCTCTGGGATGCCAGCCCACTTACCGCAGTACCTTTTAGAACTGGCGCCAACGTAGAGATGATGTCAGGGGATGAGCTCCTCCGTAGACTGTAGTTTCGGTACTCTGCTCTTCTCGCCCCCACCCGGACGTCCGGCTCTTCGGGAGCCAGGCTGCTAAGAATTTGATTCGATAACATTTGGGTTCGCTGTGTGTTGATATTGGTGGCCGTTCCACTTGAGCCAACAGAATACTGTGTCTGTTGCTTCAGGAGAAGGTTGTTGTACTTGAGAGCGCCAGTAGGTGCCGAGTCCATGTCAAGATGAGACGCCTGTTCGCGTGCTGTCGGGGATGGGTGTCTCGGGGAAGATATAGAGCCAGCGTCAAGGGGTATAGTAGGGAGTGATGTACTCGATGCTGCTGCGTTCGTTTCCCCATCCTGGAGCATGGACTTGCTACTCGAAGGCAGCATAATCAAATCAACTTCGTCAGTCGTGGACAGTGTACCCTCGGACTCATCTAGTCGCCTCCGTTTCTTGCTTCGACTTTCAGCAGAGTCCTCGATATCCCAATGGCCGTCCGAAAGCGCATCCTTGGCAATGAGTGCTCCGTCTCTCTTATGCGCCTGATCTGGCATTGTGTGGCTATGCCTTTTCGACTGCCTTTCCAGTGGTTGTCGTGGGGCTTCTGGGCTGCTTGGGACTTCCCACGGGTCCACCACACCGGTCCGTGTCTCATCATGCGTTACTGTCCGAGAGGGCATCCGAGGCCAGCCAGCGCAAGGCTCCGCAGCTTGAGTATCCGAAAGCTTTTCCAGATGGGAGTCTGTGGTAGTTGTGGTGGATGAATGATAGAAGCCCTTGGTGGTTCGCTGAAAGGGAACATCAGGGATGGTCATGGCCGAGCTTTCATGCGGCGCATCATCCGAGTCCCGCTGCAGCTGCTGGGCTTTCTCAAGAGCGGCGCCATTCTGCTCATTGAAGACCTGCTGGAAGAGGGCCGAGTCTGTGGACGCAGTTGCGAGGCTTCCGTGCTCGGGAGATCGTATTTGCGCCGGAGGAAGCGTCACAGCTGGAGCGGCTGCAAGGTGCTCGCTCGAGTCACTTTCGTCATCAGAATCAGCAATGACCAAAGGTGTCATGCTGATAAGTAGCAGACAAAGAGAGAAAACGAAGAAGAAGAGAAATGAACACAATCCACCACCGCCTGATTGCAAACCTCCGAGTTGCTTGACTGAACGCTCGCTGAAGTGGCTGTGATGGTCGTTGGGGCGTAACGCGGTCTGACGTCCACTGCGAACGCGAGAGCACGTGACCTCTTTGTCGTACCTGCCTACTACCTTACCTAGGTACCTTACTTGCCCAGCGCTCGTATTCTGTCTGGCAGGTAGCACCCCCTTTTGACATTGACAGTCAAGGTACCTTACATGTACTACAAGCAAGGTAGGTAGGTAGGTATTGTAGCTGCCTTTTGCTGAGTTGAGTATACCTAGGCAAAGCAATCTGAATCTTACAGATATTAGGCGGGTTAATTACTATCGCTCTACTGCTTCGCAAATATGCTACCATTTCGCGCTATAACTGGAGGTTCCCAAGCAAGGGACGCTGCGGCTGGCCCTTCAAGTGAGCAGCTGAGCCTTTGTAGAGGCTCTGCCAGATGAAAGCCTCGCTGAGGAGAAGCTCAATGTCCTTCTCCGTCCATGTCTTCGTCGGGAGGCTCTGTAGGAACATCATGACCTCCTGAAAGTCCATCTTGACTAGTTTATCAGACCACTTTACGAGGAGCGCAGCGCAAACATATAAATGGAATTCTGAAAAGCCCTGTTCTTCGGCCTGGTCCCATCGTCGTTAGCTGGGCCGTGGACTGTTGGGGGGTTTAAGAAAGCAAAGGCATTTCACTTACAAGGTATGTATCCCACATACGGATTGTGTTCTTGACGCTGATTTCGCGCATAAGAAGACAGTTCATCCATCGGAAACTAAACTGTATGAACTCGACGCCTTCTTGCTCAAGATGCTTTGACAAGTTGGAGTCAATCCTGGCAGTGAGATCCCGCAGGGCTGCCACCTGCCTTTGAATACCCGGTTGAGCAACAATATAGTGATCTTGAATGCCATCGAGAAGCTTGCTGAGGCACCAGAACGAGTCTGCTTCCACAGCATCCAGGACGGACTTGGGCAATTGCCCAGGATCCATGCCCGTCTCGATATCTGGATCGGTAATGTAGAGCCCCAAGAACACTTCCCAGAATGGCGTGACCAGATCGTTGATGCCCTGCACGTATCCGCTGGCGGGATGCCTGACGGCCCAAACATAGAGGATGCGTTCCAGCGACCTCTGTGTCGCCTCATAGCTATACAGCTCAATGTGGGGATTCGTCCTGGGTATGTCAATGCTGATCTGATGCCAGACAGCTTCATCCAAGCCCCTGGCTTTTCCGGCGGAAGAGCTGCTGGCTGCTGTCCCCCCTCTTTCGAACGCTTGCTTAACGCCGTCCAGATACTCCTTCCGCTTCCTCTCCAGAGTGGCAACGCGCCTCTCACTATTCGTAGGGAGATAGCTAAGGAGGAGTTGCCAGGTCATTGCGCGGACTTCGTGCGGTACACCCGACCATGCTAGCGAGCGAAGGTCAGGAAGCGATATTGAAGACGCCTGTAGCAGCCGTTTGAACTTGTTTATGCGCGTTATTCGCGAGTTGATCGCGTCGGCTTCTTTCTGCGGCGCACTGCTGGGTATAGAGGGATAGCTGATCAGATGGAGCGCATTTGCGGGATCTAGTTAAGGGGTCAGTACTCCGTGTAAGTAGACGACAAGCCAGGAGCCGCCATTCTTACCCTTCAGGATATCTTTATACTGTGGTCGGAGAATCTTGCCCTCGCTTTTCTTGGGCATTGGATATGTTGATGCCGGACGCTCAGCTGCAATATCGGCGCTGTTGGAATAACGCCGTGCTTGGACTCGGCCAAAAGAACCGTCGCCCACGGGGGACAACGCTTCCTGCCATGGCTCCGACCTGTTGTTTTGGGTAGCTATTCGCTTCGATCTTCGCTTCATGTTTGAGAGACTGGGGAGCCCAAAATCATCACCGTCGTCATCTTCGTATCCCAGCATCTCATCTTCATCGGCCTTCCAATCATCATTGGTATTCGACAGGAAGTTGATGTAGCTCTTGAACGGGGGGGAGGAGGAAGCCAATGCGCCTCGTTGAGGTGGCGGCGTGGTTTCGGGCATGCGATGTCTCGAGGACGATGTCGAAGGGGGGGTCCGGGGACGAGGCGAAGAAGAGCTGGAGAGGTTCCTGGTCTCAAGGTCAGCCATGGCGGGACGGGGACAGCGTGCCGATATACGGGTCTCATACAAGGAATCGAACTTGAGCATGTCCGCATGAGAATACGCCGCGCCAACGACGAGGTTCGAGCCATCTCGACCTGCCGGGTTCGTAACGCTTCTTCTAGGGTTGCCGTCTCGTGGCGGCGGCCTCCAGAACGGCGAGGCTGATCTGTGAGACGGAGTGGCGTTAGCAGACAGCGTGAGGTGTTTGGAGAGGAACGGAGCAGGCGAAGAAGCATACTCGGACCGGTCTAACACGTCGAACGATTGAAGTGCGGTCAGTAACGGGAGCCCATTGCTCTCTCTCCAGGGCGCACGATCCGACGCGACGGAAGGCCTTCGAACAACGTACCGACCTGGACCATCTCCTGCGGCTGGGGACCGGCTGTTAGCATCATCATCACCACCACCATGCCGACATGTCGCCGGTTGCGCCACAAGGCCAGGGCGAGGCCGACTCACTGAATTGGCCGGCTTCTTGCCGCTCCCAGAGGACGACCACATGTTCACGAATGGTCGTCGAAGGCGCAAAGGTGAGGCGTCATTCTGCGGGGTTCTGGGGGATCGGACTCAATGCCCGTGACAAGCTGGGGAAGCGTCGAGCCTGGCCCGGCGATGATCCTCGTTCGACTCTTGTCCACCTTTCTCAGGTTGTCTTGGCCAACAAGCTCCAATTCCAGGCAGGGTGGCCTGTGGTTCTGGTTGGGTACTTGATGCAAGCGGCAATGTCTGGTGGGTGTGCTGGTACCGATGCAGATACAGGAGGCACCACGCTGCAGGGCCGCTAACGGTCCAGAGTGTTGAGGCGGGGTAGCGGCTCTGGAAGGCGCCTGAAGGCACAGTTACAGTGGGAGCATGCGCTACGAGGCTGTCCTGGTGCGCTGGATCTTTAGCTGGTGGCAAGGCTGGACCTGCCTGGAAGATCCCCGTCTGCAGCAGGTTCGTCTGGGCCTACCTTGAGGATACCTTGAGAGTAGCATTTAACGGCCTAGATTTACGCCAAGAACGTTAAGCATACCGGTATCTCTATGTATCCGCCAATGAGCGTCAAGACACGCAGCCTTGCTTCACGCAAGGGGGAGGAAACAAGGCGCAGCAAGGCCAGAAAAAGAACAAAAGCCACTGGTCTTTTCACGATCTGCGTCCCATCTCACAAGTCATTATTTCACCTCCTATTTCACTTCTTCTCCGAAAGGCATCATCACGGCTTTGATGAAAAGCAGGGCCATGCCTCCAAGCTGTGGAACGCTGACCCGTCGGCCTTCTCCGGGCTGATGCCTTAGTCAGCAGCTGCCCACGTAAGGTCCCTTAGTAGTACATGTAGCAAGGCTCACCCTAGTAGCGCTTCCCTTCCGTTAAGCTTTCCAAGGAGCAACTTAACTTCTTCCTCAACCTCAAATCCCAGTTTTCTGCGCGACGACGTCGAACATCTCGTCCATCCCCAATCACTCCTTCGGCATCAAATCCATCCCTTATTCATCTGCTACGAGGGTTTCCCATCTCACCGAGACAATTCTACAGCGTCCGATATCCACGTCTCGACGCTGCTAGCGGTCCATACGCAGTCGCGGTTGTCGGTTGTTCTCGCCTCACCTCACCCTCCAGCCCATCTCCTCCACATAATTGCCATCATGACGGAAGCTGAGAACTTTGAGGACGATCTCTTCGCCGATCTGTAAGGCCTTCTGACTCCAGGCCCTGATTCCTTCCGATGTGCTGACCTGACGACTAGCTACGAAGATACTGACGCAAAGCCTGCCGCCCCGGTCGCGAGTGCGGCTCAGAATGCTGACACAAAGGTCCACGACCAGCCCGAACCAGCCGCTGCCCCAGCTTCCACTGGCGACGAGGACAACTCTGGCTACGAAGCCATGAACCAGGATGCAGACGATGATGAAGATGAAGTGGACTTCAACTTGGGAGGCGGCGGCCCTTCAAACAATACCAATGCGAACCCGCAAGACGACGCGCCAGCGACTCCGCCCTACGGGACCGTTCACAAAGCCAGTGCTAAGGAAGATGGGTGAGTTTCCCTTGTTATGTGAAGTTATGATATTGGTGCATGAGTTCTTTTACATTACCTGCGACAAGTGTCGTGCGCAATGTTGCCATATGATGATGAGAGGCTTCCAGCCAGCGCGTAATCCTGCACCTTGCAACCACATGATGGTATACACCTGCTTAGAGCAAGTGGCTGGCTTGATTATCGGGGAGAAGAGTCAGATTCAGCGGCGGGACAAGGCCCCTGGTCGACCGGAGAGCAAAAATATATCAACAAGCATGAGAGCGCGGTTGGAAATATCCAGAAACCTCCTGGAGGAGAATACAGTCGAGGCGCCATCCCGACTGATTAAGTTTCCCGGGGACAATGGAGCAAAGGGAGACGATGGCGCTTCGTCCATCGACGAGGCTAGGGAAATCCAAGCTTTGACTAAGCTGAGAAAGATATGCACCCGCCCGACGACCTATTTTACACTCCAGTATGAACACGATGCTTGTCCTTCATAGCTCTCGGTCGCAGAGGTCTCAAAGATAGCCAGACGAGAGCATATGCGCTTCTCGGAGGCTGTAGCAAGATTGACAGCGGGTAGCGCTTAGGGTCAACTCGTACCTAGCAACAGACAGTCAGAGACAGAGTCAAGAGCGATAGCACACAGACGAAAGATCAGAAAAGAGAAAGGAAACAAATACGACACTTGTCTGGCACCTTGCGTCCCTCTGCAATCGCTGTATGCCCTTGGCTGTCTCACCAAGCATCGCATCCGCGGGGGCCTATGAAGCGCCATCGTTGACAACTCTTTGACATAACCTCAACTTTATCCTGTCGCAAAGTAAAGAGGCAATGCATCGGATCCTTGCCGCATCGAACCTCGAAGTCTCGGCAACCCGTCACGCCTCTTGAGGCTATCCGCATACACTTTTTCGAGAATTGGTCCGCATACGACCCGGCAACAGGGGCAAAGCGCATGGCTTTGGCGGATATTTGCGTGCTTCCTCAGCTGGCCGGCCTTGCCCAACGGCCCCGACGTGGTGACAGCGACGACGTATCTGGCTCCATGGATCGACAATGGCCCCTGTCCATACGCCGAAGCAGGCCGGCAGTTGCTGCATCTCTCATATCATATGTCCTGCCCCGAGATCTCTCTTCTGTTGCCCCATACGCTACTACTGCTAGGATCTCGTTTCGCTCTGTTGCTTTCTTATGTTTGCCATGTTATTTGCGAGGAGACTCTTTCGCGATGAATTGACGTGCTGACCTTTCGTTTACTTAGGAAAATGTTCATCGGTGGACTGAACTGGGAGACAACAGACCGTACGTCTTACTACACACTCTTGGCTGACCTTGCAGATGCTAACGGACGGTAGAATCCCTGCGAGATTACTTTTCACAATTCGGAGAAGTCGTCGAGTGCACTGTGATGAGAGACAGCAGCTCCGGCCGGTCCCGTGGCTTTGGCTTCTTGACCTTTAAGGACCCCAAGACGGTCAATATTGTCATGGTCAAGGAACATTTTCTGGATGGCAAGATTGTAAGCTTTTTGTTCCACTCAAGCAAGTGTCCGATTTACTAACGGACAATAGATTGATCCCAAAAGAGCTATTCCCCGTGACGAGCAGGAGAAGACGAGCAAGATATTTGTGGGAGGAGTAAGCCAGGACACCACTGACCAGGAGTTCAGAGAGTACTTTGCCCAGTTTGGTCGAGTAGTCGACGCCACATTGATGATGGACAAGGACACCGGCAGGCCTCGTGGCTTCGGCTTTGTCACCTTTGAGAGCGAAGCGGGCGTGGACGCCTGTATCAATGTGCCGCTCGAAATCCATGGGAAGCCTATTGAGGTTAAGAAGGCTCAGCCGAGAGGCAACCTACGAGAGGAGGAAGAAGCGTCCAAGCGAGGAAAGTTCCGAAAGGGCGATGACCAGTCTGTCCAGGGCGGTATGGGTCAGCAGATGGGCGGTAACAACTCGGCCATGACGCCGCAGCTCATGGCTCAATACTTCCAGCGAATGCAGCAGTACTTTGCCATGATGCAGTCGCAGATGGCCATGTCTAGAGGCATGCCCATGAACCCGGCCATGTGGCAACAGATGCAACAGATGCAGCAGATGCAGCAGATGATGGGCCGCGGCGGCGGTCCTGGACAGAACATGATGGGCCAGATGAACCCCCAGATGATGCAGCAGATGCAACAGATGCAGCAGCAGATGATGGGCCAACAGGGAGGCCAGGGCAACGGTGACGGCGGCTACAACGGCTACGACCAGTACCAACAGCAGGCCTCTCAGGGTCCCCACGGCGGCCGACGGGGTGGCCGCGGAAATTATGGAGGTGGCGGATACGGGATGGGAGGAGGAGGCGGAGGAGCCCCCACGTCCTGGGAGGGCATGTACGACGATGTGCCGCAGCCGAATGCGAACCAGGGGTCGTCTCGGCGCGGCGGAAGCGTCGGCCACGGAGGAGGCTCGGATGCCCAGCACTCTCCGCCAGCAAACGCCCCGACCGGGCCCAAGAATGCCGGGAAGCCTGGCGCCAACTACCGCGGCGGAGGACGAGGCGGAAACAGGGGCTTCCATCCTTATGCCCGATGAAGGCAAACGGCCGACATTTTGCATGGCTGATTGCATTCATTCTTTTCCACAGAGGAGGCCTGAGAGACGACGATAGGAAAACCCCCCGGAAAGTGCCAAACTGGTCAATGACTCTTCTTTCTACTTTGAACAATGGATCTGTATTATTATCACAACAACCCCCCAGATGAAATGGCTAGGAGAGAGAAATCCACCGCGATCTCACATCTCTCTTGCAACAAAGGGGGGGAAGCAACGACACAAACGCTTTTGGACGTAAGGAAGAAGGTTATCTCCCAAATCCTTTCCTTCTTCTCATCGTCTTTATCAGTTTCTTTTCTTTCTTTTCATTTTCTTGCCTTACATCCTGTTTTCTCCTTCTTAATTAATAGCTTGCTCTTGTGTTGGATTGGACTCTCATAGGTAGTGGACGGGGAACAAGACAGGGGACACAACAGGAAACAAATGAAGAAAAAAAAAACACAATGAACCGAAAAAAAAGGGGGGGGAGGAGGGTTTTGTCTCGGCTTCTTGTTTTTCTTGAAGCCTTTCTTTGGTCTCTTTTTGTCTTAATGATTTTCAGAAAACAAAAAGCATCAGGCAGACGTAATATATGTGATTTACACAATGCATCCTCTCTTGTCCATCACATTCGCCATTGCTGTGTAGGAATAGCTGTGGTTGGAGTGTCTGCAAGACAAGTCCATACTATAACATCTCATCTGTATAGATCGTGTCGTAAGGTATATATATATGTGTGTGTGTGTGTGTAAAAATACTTGCTGCTATGCCACTCCCTCTGGACAGTTCAATCGATTCCTCTGTCAGGAGCACACAATAATTCAACTTGCTATAGCTCTACTCGTAAGCAAGCTCCAAACTCCATGTCCTAACCGTCGCCACATAATCTTAAAGTGATAATGTAAAAGTGATCAAACAGAAAGAAGAAACAAACAAAGTGCCATGCTCATGCATATCATAAAAAAAAGAAGAAGAAAAAATAAGAAGAAGGAAGGATGAAAGGATATCGAGACAGAAAAAGAATACATCGCTTGCCCTCGGTCCCAACTAGAACCGTCTATAATTGTCCCCCTCCTCCAGCTTCTTCAATACGCCCACGGCATCAGCGAGCAAGATGCTCCGCCCGCCCAGGCAATCCTTCTCGAGCGACGCCCTTGCGAGGTTGACCGCCCCGGAGCCGGCCTGCCTCTCCTGCTCCGACATCTGCTGGATGCGCCCGGGCTCCATGTCCGACGCCTTGAGGATCCACTGCACGGCGGCCCTCCGCGTCGGCGCCTTGCTGGCCTCGGAGCGGCTGGCGGCGCCGACATGGCCAAAGGCCCAGCAGATGAGGGAGCACACGTAGATGCCCCAAAAGTCGGAAATCTCCTTGCGCTGCTGCTGCTGCGCGCGCTGTTGGAAGGGGGTGGGGATCGAGGCGGCGGTGCTCCCGTCCTTGCTCACGCACCTCTGCAGTCCGAGGAACAGCTTGAGCGCCCGCGAGGCAAAGGCAACCGCAACGGCGGCGCTGCCAGAATCTCGCCACTTCTCCAGCTGCCTCTGGTGCTCCATGAAGTCGGTGGCCTGGAGCACCTTCTTGTTGAAGACCCAGCTGTCGCCCGACACTGACAGGAGCGTGTGCAGCGGGGTGTAGTGGAGGGCGAGATGCGACATGGCAATGGGCGAGTACGGGAACAGATTGATGATTCTAAAGTGGCTCATGCTGATGCTCGATGCATCATCTAGGAGGTTGATCTTGGTGAGGTACCGTCGCTGGGGCAGCTGTAAAACGTATGCGACCAAAAACAGCGAAGCGTCAAAGGCCGGGATCGAAGCAATATCCGCTGCGGTGATTGTTTCGAGAATCGTCGCCCCAACAGTCGCTGGCATGGCTGGCTGGCTGATGCTACTCCATTCCTGGTAGTTTTGCGCATCCCACAGCTGCAGCGTGGCCATCGACAAGGGGATCGGGAGTGTCCGAGGATCACTATAGTCCAGGCCGAGAACCGCGGCTCGAGGCTGCTCCAGGAAGGACATTGCATGGACATCAAGCAAGAAGCATGCGGATAGGAGGCGCCTCTTTGATTCCATGTGGACCCAGATCCTCCATTGCTGAGAGGCATCGCATGGTCCCACAGTCGATGGGTAAGTGGTTTGTGCGTGAATGACCTGCATTGAAGGTACAATGAGCAAGAGATAATAAAGATGGTTGGGTTGTCTCCCCGGCAGAGTACGATGAAAGTAGAAGAAGAAGGAAGAAGCACCAGTTGGAAACAAGTCAAGATAAGAAAAAGGGGGAGAAGGGAAGCATAATAATCATAAAGTGAAAGCAAAAGAAAGAAAAAAGAGACTGCTGTAGGAACTTTTGTTTTTGTTTTTGCGGACATGATTGTACACAAGACAGGAAAATCGTGAAGCATGAAAGGCCCACAGAAAAGAAAAAGAGAAAGAGAAAGAGAGAAAGAGAAAGAGAAAAAGAGAAAGAGAAAAAGAGAAAGAGAAAAAGAGAAAGAGAAAAAGAGAAAGAGAAACCCGTTCACTCAGAGATGCCAAGCGGCATGTGAACGTAGAGAACCATGAGAAATCTAGCGGGAACTAACCATTTGGTACAGTGCCTCAAAGCGAGGCGACGGCATATATGCCTTCTTGTTCCGTCCCCGGAAGCGAGCATAGTACTCGCACAAAAGCGTAGCCTGCATAATGGGCAATGGCCATTCCGGGGTGCCAGAGTTGGCATACTATTTGAGAGAAGGGTAGGTTAGCTGGCTGCTCTTCCGACATCAGCCGAATCTTGTTGTTCTTGTTCGGCACTTACCAGCTTCGCCTTGTCCATCGCATAGGTATGTAGCTGGTGCCCGTTGGCGCGGTGCTCCTCATGCTCGAGGAATTGGGTTGCAATGGCCGCCATGGCGCACTGGAGAATCTCCAGGTGCTCCTCGGGCATGTTTGTCGGGTTCTCGAATGTCGGTTTATGAATGATGGGGTACATGGAATGGACCTTGTCCCAGTACACCTCAATGTAAGTCGGGATCATGCTTCGAATGCCATGGCTGAGAGCTGTCGGCATAAGGGTGTACAGGCCAAGAGCATCGACAGGCTCGCGGCTGCAGGTGCGAGGATACATCATGCGATCCACAGGCAACGCAGCCGGCGCTGCGACCAGAGTCTCGGCGGACTGGCCCACCATCAGCTCTGGAGGGGACATGCTGCGGACTGTCGTGTCAAGCATTTGGGGGCTGTAGAGGTTTGCGCCGTGTTCGAAGCCAGCAAAGGGGGTTCCCATGCCATCCCCGTAGACTGACGAATAGACCTGTGGAGGGGTGGCAGCGTAGCCAAAGGACATGGGATATCCATTGTCCGTGATGACGGGGCTCGGGGATGTGGTGTAAGAGGGCATCGGTCCAGTCCACTCCGCGGCAGGGGCCCGCGCCGACGACTGTTGAAAACTGGAGCTGACGGATGCCGGCGTCGAGTAAGCACTTCCTGAAGAGGTCGACGGGATGCCCGAGCTGTCCGTCGTCCATGTAATGTTCGACGGAGTCGCTTCAGGTATACACAGCTCTGTAACTTGGGGGTCGATTACACCCAGTCCGGCAGGCCGCGGTTCACTGTAGGTAGAGACCACGCCGGCCGTGACGGGGTCGACCACGCTCATATCTGCCATGTGATAGGCACTCTGCGCATCTCGCATGTGTGGTGATTGCATTGTAGGCCCTGGCGGCGTTGACCTGTTGACGGACGACCAGTGGCCCGCCACCATCCCGACACTGGAAGCAGGCGTGGCGGCAGCGCCAACGCTGTATGGAGAGGAAGCTTGTTGCATCGCGGGCGCTGGCGGTGAGCTGCTGTATGGTCGAGATGGACTGCTGTCGGAGCGTCGCCGTCGTGATGAGTCTCTGATCAGTTTGCCGTCGTGTTCGCCACTACATCATCTCATGTTCAGCTGCCGCCCCTTCATGCTGAGATGAGATGGGGAGAATGGATGAGAAGCCTTACTGTCTCTGTAAGTGTCGGTCCAGTAGGTCTTTGCGATAAAAGACCTTCTTGCAGCCCGAGACCGTGCAGGAGAGCTCCGGTGGCTGATGGCTAAGTTGATGTCGTCTGAGGAGGGGTAATACCGTCAGCAACGCTGTTTGTGAATATAGGGAGTGATGAGGTAGACGACATACCGTAGATGCTCTGCTCTTGTGAACGTCTTGAATGTGAGGAAAGAAGAGCCCCCGAATGTTAGCTTCATATGGTACAACAAAACAACATCGGAACCGAACGAGTGAAGCAGTGAATGTGCGAAATACCTTTGGCGGCCGGCAGGCATCACAGGTATGAACAGGAACTCCCTTCTTCGCGCGACTGACCCTCCCAGTGATGGGCGTCAGCTTGACAGGGTGATCCCCTGAAAGGGTTCCTGGCATGATGGGCCTCATTGCTGTTGCTTGGTAGTAGGCTGTATGGCTCTGGCTCTGTCCGTAGGAAGAGTCCATGGAGTCGGTGCTAGTGTTGCTGCGTCGGCGAGCGCCAGGGTGGTTGTTATATCCTAGTGGTGGCGCTGCAGGGTGGAGGATGTGAGGAGGTGATGTTTGCCTTGACAGATCCACCGGGATGTGATGATTGTATCTGGCCATGGGGACGGATAGATCGTGATCGAGCGAGGTTCTCGAAGCCGGCTTCCGGTCCCTTCTTATGGCGTGCGAGTCAACGTGGTCGTCATCGACATTCATAATGTTCCTGAGGCTCCCCATTGTGGAGAGAGCTCTCAGACAAAGATCGAAAGACGAGATGCAGTGGTAAAATAGAGGTGAAGGAAGCAAGGTGCCGGGGCCGTCGTGGAGCACAGAAAGTCTATCTTGGTATACACAGCCCGGAAGGCTGCGAGAAGACGCTGCTAGTGATGTGACGTGAAGTGAAGTCGTAGAGATGATGGATTATAGGGCCGGCTATCTCCAAAAGCACGGGTAAGGAGAGCAAGGGTATGGTTTGATGGTGTAGGAAGAGACGAAAAAGGGTCGACTTAGAGGGCAAAC